ACAGAAAGGACAGACAGAAAGGACAGGGACAGAAAGGACAGACAGAAAGGACAGGGACAGAAAGGACAGACAGAAAGGACAGACAGAAAGGACAGACAGAACAGACCAAACAGACAGACAAAATGGCGGGTTTGTACCTGCTTCGTATGGAGGAGTTGGAGCGACTGCCGTGACCGGAGCGGCGCGACCTGGCAGACGACAGCTCACTCGGCCGCTCACCCAGACCCTGCAATCAACAAAAGAAATCTTCTACATTCCTCTCATCCATCCCCTACAATCAACAAAAGAAATCTTCTACATTCCTCTCATCCATCCCCTACAATCAACAAAAGAAATCTTCTACATTCCTCTCATCCATCCACTACAATCAACAAAAGAAATCTTCCATCTAAATTAAGGCCTGGACACAGACACAGTTGCAGGAAAATCTGTAATGCTACACTAGTACAGGGAAAGCCTGGACAATGTAGGAGTTGCAGGAAACAATCCGTAGGAACATAGAAAAATGTCCAGGTCTCAAAGTAAATGGAGAAAATATTAATAACACCAGGTATGCAGATGACACAGTTTTAATAGCAGGCTCCGAAAAGGACCTTCAATTGCTTCTAGATACTGTTGTAACAGAAAGTGAACGTAAAGGGTTAGTGTTGAATGTAAAGAAAACAGAATGCATGGTAATATCCAAAAAAGCAGCAAATCCTCGTTGTAATCTCATTAGCAAAGGTGAAAAGATCAAACAAGTCCGGCAGTTTAAATATCTAAGATATATGATAACATCTGATGTCAAATATTCCACAGAAATAAAACAGGGAATTACAATGGCTAAGGCTAGTTTCAATAAAAACGAGCCCAATCCTGAAAAATACAAACATCTCAATGACTACCAAAATGAAAGTTCTGAAATGCTATGTATGTCCAACCCTTCTTTATGGCTGTGAAGGCTGGACAATCACTAAAGAAAGTGAAAATAAAATAGAAGCAACAGAAATGTGGTTTCTTATGAGACTGCTAAAAGAGTATCGTGGAAGGAAAAGAAATCAAATGAGGTAGTGCTTGATGAAGCCCACATGGGACGCTCAATGTTAAAAACAACCAGGAAACGACAAATGCAGTTTTTGGGACACCTGAATAGACATAAGGGTCTTGAATATCTAGCTCTCACTGGCAAAATTGAGGGCAAGCGAGGCAGGGGTAGGCCCAGAACAACATAATTAGGGAATCTAAACAAATGGGTAACAGGGAAAGATCAGGGAAACGTAGCTTTTTTGAGAGCACCTGAACAAAGAAATAAATGGAGAACCATGATCGCCGATGTCTGTGGCAGATCTGGCACTGGATGATGATGATGAAAATCTGCTAATTAATGAATGTTTTACACTTATGTAGATGTAAACACACACACACACACAAATGTACATACAATACTACCAACATAGCACACGTGGTGAAATCTTCAACAATAGGAACACAAAGAAACAGTTTTTTAGTATAGGTCCCCCACAGACACAATAGAGATCATTTAGGAGATAGACACAATAGAGATCATTTAGGACATAGACACAATAGAGATCATTTAGGAGATAGACACAATAGAGATCATTTAGGAGGTAGGAGGAACCTTTCAGGCCCAACCTGGGCGGAGAGGGATACAACATATCCTAGATGAAAAACCTGGGCGGAGAGGGATACAACATATCCTAGATGAAAAACCTGGGCGGAGAGGGATACAACATATCCTAGATGAAAAACCTGGGCGGAGAGGGATACAACATATCCTAGATGAAAAACCTGGGCGGAGAGGGATACAACATATCCTAGATGAAAAACCTGGGCGGAGAGGGATACAACATATCCTAGATGAAAAACCTGGGCGGAGAGGGATACAACATATCCTAGACGAAAAACCTGGGCGGAGAGGGATACAACATATCCTAGACGACAGACCTGGGCAGAGAGGGATACAACATATCCTAGACGACAGACCTGGGCGGAGAGGGATACAACATATCCTACACGACAGATCTGGGCAGAGAGGGATACAACATATCCTAGACGACAGACTGACAGGCTCAATAAAAATTTCTCCCCATTCAGGAATCGAACTTGGATCTCTGTTATGCGACAGTGAATCACCTAGCCGCTATACTACAGATGCTGATGATAGAAACTGTGTCGTCAGACTGTCTAAAAATAGCAAAACAAAATAAGTCTCATTTTCTTCACAAAATACTTTATCATAAATAGCAGAACAAAATATACCATGCTTCACCTTTTGCTTCAAAGTGTCCACAAAGATACCACGCTTCACCTTTTGCTTCAAAAAGTCCACAAAGATACCAGGTCTCACCTTCTGCTTCACAAAGATACCATGCCTCACCTTTTGCTTCAAAGTGTCTACAAAGATACCATGCCTCACCTTTTGCTTCAAAGTGTCTACAAAGATACCATGTCTCACCTTGAGCTTCAAAGTATCCACAAAGATACCATGTCTCACCTTCTGCTTCACAAAGATACCATGTCTCACCTTCTGCTTCACAAAGCTTCTGCTTCAGAGTATCCACACAAAGATACCATGTCTCACCTTCTGCTTCACAAAGATACCATGTCTCACCTTCTGCTTCACAAAGATACCATGTCTCACCTTCTGCTTCACAAAGATACCATGTGTCACCTTCCGCTTCACAAAGATACCATGTCTCACCTTCTGCTTCACAAAGATACCATGTCTCACCTTCCGCTTCACAAAGATACCCCGTCTCACCTTCTGCTTCACAAGATACCATGTCTCACCTTCCGCTTCACAAAGATACCATGTCTCACCTTCTGCTTCACAAAGATACCATGTGTCACCTTCCGCTTCACAAAGATACCATGTCCCACCTTCTGCTTCACAAAGATACCACGTCTCACCTTCCGCTTCACAAAGATACCCCGTCTCACCTTCTGCTTCACAAGATACCATGTCTCACCTTCCGCTTCACAAAGATATCATGTCTCACCTTCCGCTTCACAAAGATACCATGTCTCACCTTCTGCTTCACAAAGATACCCCGTCTCACCTTCTGATTCACAAAGATACCACGTCTCACCTTCTGCTTCAGAGTGTCCACAATGTCCTGAATGTTCCTCAGCGTGTTTGCCGGTAAATATTTGGTCAGCATGCGGTCAAAGTCCTGATGACTCATCAACTTGTATAGGATGGAACGACCGTAGTACCTGAAAGAAAACAGTTATACCGACTTCAGCATAAGTAATAGTAGTGTAAAGAAAACAGTTATACCGACTTCAGCATAAGTTATAGTAGTGTAAAGGAAACAGTTATACAGACTTCAGCATAAGTTATAGTAGTGTAAAGAAAACAGTTATACAGACTTCAACATTAGTAAAGGACCACCTTGACAGACAGCTCTCATTTTTTTTTAATCCGAAAAAAAGACAGCAAGAAATGTTCCGAAATTTTTTGCTCTGAAAGTGTTAATGAGTTACCAATGCGTACTGCCAAGCTTCCTAATAGGGCAAAACCACCACATGCTGCACGGAAATCCTCTGGGAATTTTAGCCAAATAGGCAGTTTATTATCGATTTGTGTGCAACACTACGGACATTCCTCAGTTAAAATTTCTGGTGCACGTCATAAACGGATGTTTGGTCTTCAACTGTGCTCATTTTGGTGGCAATATAAGCTGCCCTTTGCGCAAATTCCAGTATCACATCAACATGCCACCAACACGAAAGCTGAGGGACTTTGATCGTGCCAGAGCTATGGCATGGCTGTAAGACGGAGTTGGAGCCCGAGTAGTTGCCAGAAAACTTGCAGTGTCACACTCTGTAAATGTCTGTCTGAGGCAGTGCCATCAAGCCACTGGATCAGTCCAAGAACACCCACGTGCAGGTTGAAAAAAAGAAGACCTATCAGGGTGTTTGCAAGTGGTCCTTAAATTTTGTTGAAGTCTGTAGTACCTGAAAGAACAGTTCTAGCACCTGAAGGAACAGTTCTAGCACCTGAAGGAACAGTTCTAGTACCTGAAGGAACACAGTTCTAGTACCTGAAGGAACACAGTTCTAGTACCTGAAGGAACAGTTCTAGTACCTGAAGGAACAGTTCTAGCACCTGAAGGAACAGTTCTAGCACCTGAAGGAACACAGTTCTAGCACCTGAAGGAACACAGTTCTAGTACCTGAAGGAACAGTTCTAGCACCTGAAGGAACAGTTCTAGTACCTGAAGGAACAGTTCTAGTACCTGAAGGAACACAGTTCTAGTACCTGAAGGAACA